CAAGTAACACAGAATGTCCAGCACAAGTTCTTACCATATAATAGGTATTCTAAAAAGTCTTATTGAGTCATCCAAGACTCTTCAAGTTTCCATTCTTTTGCTAAACTCAGTGACATTACATTTAACCCTTCACAGTAATTCTAAATAGTATTCTGTAAGATTTAATAGCTGGTTTAATTTTGTGCTTTGCAAGGACTATGTTAAAGTGAAAATGTCTAGCTAGATGGTTAGATTTATGTACTAGCTACCTTTGATCTTCCATATTAATTTATAACTTTTACATTTCTAAAGCACACATCATTGGAATTATATACAGAACATTTTCAATTATGTTCACAACTGCAATATAAAATGAGAAAAAATCAGATAAAACTTAAGCCAAACAGGGAATAAAACTTAGATTCTGAAATAGACAGATTAAAAAAAAAGCATTATTTTAAAAATGGAAGTCATTCATTTACTCATGAATTTAGCAAACAATCTATCTAAAGACTACCAAGTGTTAGAAATTGTTTTAGGCAGTGAATTCTTGCTTTGGCAGAGCTGACATACCAGTGACAAAGACAAAAAAACTCAATAGATTAACAAGTTATTTAATGTAATTTGTAGTAACTACATGTTAAGAAAAATAAATTAGGATAAAGGAATTACACATGAAAGGATGAATATCAAAGATGGTTTGGCCATGGAAAGCCTTTCTAAGTTCACGATCTTTGAACACGGACATGAATAAAATATAGGAGCAAGTTATGATAAGATCAATGACTTGTTCCAGACAAAAAGAATAGCAAGCCTGAAGATATTCAGGTAAGAATAAGCCTTGATGTATTCCAGAAAGTGGAAGAAGGGCATTGTAGATAAACTAGTGTGCAAGAAGGAACAAATGAAGAAATGAGATTAGAAGTATAGATAAAAGCTAGACTATGAAAACAAAGATTGGGAATTTTAATTTCATTCTAAAAAGTTTGAGAAGCCAGAATTTAGATAGGGAAGATTGTAGATAGGTTAATAATAATATGTGGTATGATAGAGACTTAAAACTTTCCCACTGGCTACAGTGTGGAACAAAGAGGTAAGTCAAAAGTCAGTATAGTAATTTAGAAGGCAGATAAAGGTGACTTGGAATAGAGTAGTAGCAGTGGAAATGGTTAAGATGTGATTAGGTTCAGGTTATAGTTCAAAGATAGAACTGGATAAAGAAAGGGAGAAAAAGAAGATTCAAGGATAATGTAGATTTCTATTGTATTCACCTGGAAAAATAATGATGCTATTTACTGAGCTGAGACAATGTGTACAGAAAAGTAAGAAGATGGCATAAGGGTTCTATTTTAGTTATGCTACATTTAAAAACCTAAGAAGTATTCAATAGCAATACTGAGGAGGCAGTTGCTGAAAAAATTTGGACTTCAGAAAAGAGGTTTAGACTGGAGATATAAATTTGAGAGTCCTGGTGTTGGATGAAAAAAACTAAGGAGTTATTAGAAACTAGAAAAATAAAGGGGTGAGCCCTGGGGATATCTCAACATTTGGAAACTGAAAAAGTATAAGCCAGAAAGAGATTAGACCGTCAATAGTACGGTAATGTCAAGAAAATCAAGAAGAAAAGTGGTCTAAGAAGCAAGATGTGATTACCTCTGTTGAGTTCTAAAAAGAAGTAATGAAGGATAATCATTCATTGATTATAGCTTGGCAGTGTGGAGGTTATGGTAACCTTAACAAAAGAGGTTCCGTTGGTCTTTAATACAAATTTGAATTTAATAAATATCATACACACACACAGAGAGAGAGAGAGAGAGAGATTACAGCATGATTGTATGCTGACGAAAGTGGTCTAGCAGAGAGGGTTACATAGATAATGTAGGACAGGGAAAAGTAAGTGGGGACGTGAAGGCACAATACAGAAAGGTTGGACTTAACCAAAAGTAGGAACATTTCATTCATTTTATCAGGAGGTTAGTCAAAAGTATATGAGAATATTTCAGAAAAGTTGGCAGATTCTTCTATAAAAGTCTACTGGCCCATTAGAGATGGAATCATAAGCTAGGATTGAGTAGATAGAAAAAGTGTTAAAGTAAAGGTAAATAATCTAAAAGAATGGAAAAGTGAATTAACTAGAGAAATACAATCACAATTCCCAGCTTGCTGAGGGTCTACTTAATATCTGTGGTCATACACTTATGTGAAATTATTCACTGTAGTTTTTTTGTTTGTAATTTTTTTGCACAAACTTCATGGATTAACCAGGGTTGGAGCTTTGCTAAGAGAGTACATCAGAAAGAGGAAGAGCTATGTAGGCAAAAGAATAATTATAATGATAGGACCCAATGAAGTGGTTGAATCTAATCTGAGTTAGGAAGGAAGTCAGTTCAGAAGGGCTTAATAGATAGAAACAAATTTATAGGGACTATGAGTCTCAATGAGGTCAAAGAAGTTTTGAAATGGGGATACTTGAAATTAAGACTTTGACAGTCATGCAGTTATGATTTTGTTACAATGTATAAGATAGAGAGGTGGTGGGCTAAAGTAGGGGAAGACAAGATAATTGTTTAAATAACATGAAGGCCAGGGTTTTAAGTAGATTATTTATATGGTTGTTAAAATAACTGAAATCGATTGTAAGAGTAGAGAAACACAATGCACAAGATGCTAAGGTCAGTTCTACCACTCAGGTACTAGATACCTCCTCTTCTATCTACTCAAGAATATGGCTCTAGAAAAATTTCCCCTCTGTTTCTTACCTTCTGTGTACAGAATAATTCTTACCAGCCCACAAACATGCTGTTAGATTTTCTGTCATAAAATCCAAACAAAACAATGCAATAACAAAGAAAATCCTTTGTTTTTGCAGTCTTTTCTAAGTACCTCCTCATTTCTTTACTCTCCTTACAGCAAAATTCCCTGAAACAGTTGTCTTTATTCACTCTTTTCAATGAATCTCTTCCATTTCTCTTTTGAACTTATACCAATCATGCTTTTCTATAAACGAATTAACAAAATAGGAGGATAGTGCAAATCTTTAGTAGATAACTACACAGAGATGTTATCATCTGATAGCCTAAGATGAAAAGCCTTGGGGTTTTTGAGGGAGAGTAGAAATGTCATGGAAGCAGTGATGAGAACAAAGAGAAGATCTTCACTTTCAGTCTCTGTGTTTTGTGACATATGGGATGGAGAACAGTCATTATGAGAGAGGTACAGGGGAAAAAGAACCCTCATGGAAAAGCAGTTTCTGTTAGAATGAAATGATAAATGAAGTATTCAGAAATTCATGGTCATAATGCCATATAGGAGGCTCCATGATGGCAGGCCATGACTTTTTGAGGAAATATTAAATGAGATTGGAGTTGTGATGGAGCGGGGTATTAGATTACAGTCGGTTACATGGAAAAGAAAGCTTGGGTGTTGATGAATAATGACTCATCAATAATAATGAGTTTTTATTGATGACTGAGGCAAATAGTGAGAAAGCCATGATGATGATGACATTGGCCTAGGCCATCTCTCAGGGAAAGGTGCCTATCAATTATAACCATAGCTTTCCTTTTGGGACTCATCTTTTAGGATGTTTGTAGTGGTGAGAATGGCAATAATGTGGTGGTAACTGTGGGGATAGGAACAGGGGACCAGTAGTTCTGGTGTGTATTAAGAACATGAGCCTAATAATATACCAGTCTAGAGGTTCCTCCTAAATTCAGCTGAGGATCAGGTAGGGGCCAGGAGAATGCTTTATCTAACTAAGAGCATGGAACACTGAAAGCTTAACTTAATCCAAGAAAGCCATGAAATTCATAGTTGGTAGTGGGTAGCATTATGGCTATGGAAGCACAGGGAGTTTGGTGGCCATTCTTTAAATACTGCGGAGGGGGGCATGGTGGTTGCAAACACCTCCTTGTTTATATCTAGCCTCTGCTACTCATAGATGACCTTAGCCTCTTAGCCTCTGTTTACTCACTCATAGAACTGGGATCATAATAGAACTTAGCTAGTAGGGTTATTGTGATAATTTTACAAATATATGTGAAACAGCTAACAAAATACCAAGTACCCGGGAAATACTGAAAAATATTAGATAGCAAATAATCAGTGGGTGACCATATCACTGCCCTCTAAGAGTGGGCTTAGTGGGATCATTTCATCTCAGAATCAGAAAGAGCTGGCAGGCAGTATAGCTCAAGAAAACGTACTTAGTTTCAAAACAATGGAGATTGATTTTATTTGTTTATATCTAAGTCATATTGGGAACACAGTTTCTAATGTTTATTTAAACCATAATTTAGAATACTCTTTGCTGATTTAACAGTGCATCCAAAATGCAAGCTTCACGAGAGTAAGGACATCATCAGTTTTGTACGTTGCCATGTCCCAAAGGCCTTGAACAGTGTTTGGCACATATAGTAAATCTGCAACAGTTTAAACCCATTGCCCAATAAATGAAATAATGTAAATTTTATTTGATTATTGTGCTAACGGAGATGACTATGGGGTATTTCTCTAGTTACACACGCATAATTTGAACAATGGCATGACAACAGCCTGTCTTTAGGTGTAGGGAGTCAAGCGTAAATCTGTGGCTGGTCATATGAAATGCTGAACCCAGCAGTTTCTATTCAAATTATTTACTGCTCTGCTCATCAAGGGAAAAGCATTTTTAAAACTCTACAATAAAAAATATTAAAAGGATACTAATCGCAATAGTTAACATATTTATATATTCCTTAAAATGTGCTAACCCTGTTAATAGTTTACAAACTCAATTTTCACAACAATCCTGAGGAGTATCCTGTCATCACAGTCATATCCATTATTAACATAATTACCATCATCACCATCCTCTTCATCATTTGCACTTTACAGATGAATAAATGGAGGTACAAGGCTAAGTGAGTTTTCTTTAGATGCCCTAGGTAATTTGTTGATTTGAGATTTAGCCATGATTTGAATGCTGAAAGTCTGGCTTTCAGTTCCATGCATTTGACCACAGTATTGCACTTCCTCTCTAGATCGCTGTCTAGCATGCAGGAAGGACAGCATCACGGTCTTTTTCTTCTTCATCACTTGTAAGGTAAGTGAAAATAACAGCTTCCATTTATTGAGTGCTTTCTATGTGACGAACACCACACTAAGAAACTTATGTCATTCCTGGTCCTTATAAAAAATATTTGAGGTGGAAGTTATTATATTCCCCTCTACAGATAAGAAGCTGAAGCTGTGATCATAATTTCCTGAAGGTCACAGATTTCACTTACATAGCTCCAAAGTCAGAAATCTGTCTGTGACACACCATATCGTAAAATGTTTACTAATAGAAAAAGGTTTCTTTCTTCAGAACTGGATGTAAATTAAACACATGATTGCTTCATTGCAGTTATTTCACTGTCTATAAATTTATATTGAACATTTAAAAGCCAAAAATACTCTAATATGGAAATTCAGTGAACATTTGTTGTATTTCTTATCTTTTTATCTATCAAGCGACTATTTCCTTCTTTCTTTTTTTTCACCATTTAACACCTTTAAGAGAGAGGTTACATTTTGTTTTTCTATTCCTTTCTTTTTTGTTTCTCTTCTTAAAAAAATATATATATATATATATTTCATAGTATCATATATATATATATAGTTGATACTGTGAAATCTTCCCCATAACTTCAAATGTAACTGTTCTGTTTATGTTCATAGTTATCATCTCCATGTACCTGTTTGTGTTTGTTGTATGTACATATACATATAACATCTATGTATTTATAAATAATATATGCCTATATTATCTGTATGCTTAATAAGCTGAATCACATTGTATATATACTTTTGCAATTTTCTTTTTTTACTCAATGTACTTTTGAAATAGACATGTTTTCTTATGTAATAATTTAGTACATTTATTTTAACTGCTAAGTAATTTTCCACCATATAAAGAAACCACAACCTCAATTTTTTTTGCACTACTCACTTTTCGATCTTTTGAATGTTGGCTCCTTCCGGCAGTTATCACTTGAAACTGCTCCATTAAAATCTACTCGATTTTTTAAAATATTCATTATTTTCAATCCATCCTTAGGTTTGGTACGGTTAATTACCCTAATTTTCTTGGAATTTCCTCTTCTTGATTTTCGATTTTGTGAAAGTACATCTTTCTTGATATCTTTGCTCTTCTCCTTTTTGTTGTTTAAATGTAGGTGTTTCCCAGAGGCATATCCTTACTTTTCTTCTTTCTCTCTTGACAGTCTCATTCATGTCATGGCTTCATATTGCAAATAACTCTCCAATCCATATTTGATTCATTTCCAGTTGTCTCCTGGACATTCCTAGTTAGATGTAATACTTGACCTAAATATGCACTTTTCCTCTTAAATTTGTTCCTCTTTCTCTGCTTCCTATTTAAATAAGTGGCAGTGCTACCATCTTAGCAATCATCCAGGCTCAAAAGCTTGGAATGATTAAGTCCCTTGGGTCTCATCAGTTGCCAGGACCTGCAAATTACTGTTCTATTCATCCTGCCAAATTGGTTCCCACTGCCACTACTCTAGTTTAAACCCCATGACTTCTAGGCTTTTCACAATAGTATAACTTGTTTTTGTGCTTCTAAGTGTCTTTCCACTTCCTAGGCATCCTCTATCCTGCTTGATTAATTTTCCTAAAGCATAGTTCTGTTCATCATATTTCCCTGTTTGAAAGCTTTTAACAGCTATTTCTTATAAAATGAAGTCCAAACGCTTTAAGCTGAAATTCTGCTTCTCCACAAATTGATTTGTTTGCCCCTTCAAACTTATTATTTCTCTATTTAATATGCCCCTTATGCCTTTCAAATTGGACACCTTACTCTTTCTGTTATCTGCTTGTATAGTCTGGGTTAAATACTGGTAACAAGCTGTTTCAAAAGCTGTGTCTCAAAATAACAAAAATTTATTTCGTACACAATTGATGTAGTCATTTTAGGTTAGCAAGAATGTTCTCTGTTCACTGCAGTCTCTCCAAGACCCAGGCTAAGGGAACAGCCACCATGTTGAATGTTGAGGCTCTCTATCATGTAGGAAATAACTCTAGAGGGTTTTGCACTAGCAATTAAACACTATGGAACAGAAGTGATAAACATCACTTCAATTCACAACTCCCTGGCCAGAATTAGTCACTTAGCTCGAACTCATCGTTAGAGAAACTAGAAAGTGCAAACCTATCTTGTGGAACAGAAGAAAAACAGATATTGATAAACAGCATTGAAGACCACCACAGTTGCCAATATATATTTTTATCATTTTTCTCCTGTAGACCAATGCTCATGAAACTTAAAATATTCTCCTTTCTCTTCTATTCTTCTTCAGATCCTGCTTACTCTTAATTCCCAGAACAGCTATCACATTTTCAATGAATTATTTCCTAATCATCCCATACAGACATATTCTCCCTCTCCTCTAATTTCTCATAGTCCTATATTTTTGAGATAAGATAAAAATTATCTGTGGTTATGCATTTAGTTCCTAGAGGTCAGGATACATTATTTTAGGCAAAGAAATATGTAGTCAAGGGTCAATAGACTACATATTTTTGTGTGTGAATACATAAATCCTACAAATTGAATCAGAGTGTAGTCTGATTACTTGGAGATTCATTTCTTTTGAAAGACTGGCTTCTTCTATTATCTATTTATAGGGGAGATGTTTATTCCTCATTATATATAAGGTTGGATACTATATATATATGCACACACATATACACACATATATAATAATTGTATATCTACATGTATGGTATATGTATATTTATATATCTTATGTATATATACATATAGTTAGCAGCTCATAGCTACTATGGTATAAATATAGAGTAAATTAATTATGAATCTGCCTTATTCTCACTCTTCTCACTCTGAAATTGCTGGCAGTGCTATTATAACTCTTTTCAGTCTTCTTTTCCAATAAGTGGTTTATTTGACCATTGCCCTTTGGTAGCAATAAGATAGATAGTCTAAGGGCTCTTTCCTATGTGAAATATTTTAAGGAATGTCCATAAAAGGAAAACACAACTGACAAGGTAAATTTAAAGTAGTGAAATCCTGTGCTTCTGTCCTTCCTTCCTTTCTTCTTTATCAAATATTTATTAGACACTGTTCTGTATATGGTACAGATAAGATACAATATGGGAATAGGCACAGACCCTGTCTTGGGGGAATCTTATAGCCCAGAAGGAGTAATAACATATACAACCTCCCTGCAATAACTTGACTTGAAATTACTATTTCCCCAATTATACACCTGGCCAATGCCTGCTCATGCTTTAAATCTCAGGTTAGGTGTTCTATCCTCTGGGAAGCCTTCCTTGATTTCTCAACTTTGCTCTAGCACTTCAGTAGCGTTTTCAGGGAGTAATTAATTATTTTTGAGGAAATAGCTCAGGAAAGTTTTAACAGAGGAAATGATTGAGAAAAAGTCTGAAAAAGGAGTGGGACTTTGCCAAGAAAAGCAAGAAGTAAGAAAATTGTCCTTATCCAAAGGTGACAAATATATGTTGAGCACAGAAATCTATGAGCAGATTTCTATTGCTAGAGCTTAAATCATAAAAACTGTTACGGGAAAAGAAGCTGGGAGATATGCAGGAATCCAATTCTGAATGGCTTGTGTGCCATGCTGTGGGGAATCTCTAATGAAATTCAAGAAGTGAAGTGGCATGGCCAGATTTACTTTTTAGAAATTATACTATTAATGAAGTACGCAGAGTAAACTTGAAGGTAGGAGAACTATTATGACATTTCCACGGGTGAGATAATTAGATTTCAAAGTAACATGATGGAAGGGGGTTCAGAAGAAGAAAATAGACACTTGGGGGAATAAAAAGAAAATATGCAGTAATAGCCTCCTTGTAGTAGGCAAGGGAGAATAAGAAATTGAGAATGTTATTTTGTTTTCTGACTTACACAATTCATGGCTAAAGATCACAGATGAAGAAATTACAGAAGAAAAAGCTGGTTTTGAGGTTGAATTAGTTAAATTGGGAACCTCGATTTTCTCTCTTAAGAAGAATGGGTTGACATTCACTGCAAAGAATCAAAGCATAGGAGTTGGTTACAGGTTTTGAGTGGCATGGTGCATGCTTTGAATTATGAGGGAAATGAGAATGGGAACTGACAAAGGACAAGTGAAACCTTTATGAGCAATGCAGAGAGGCAAGCTGAAGTTGCAGGGTAGGAACACTTAGTAGTCCCAGTCTACAAGTTTGTATTACTATTGTCAGTCAAACTCAGAGCTGAGTACAGGAATGGAAAATTCGTGTGATTAATCTAGGGTTAAAAGTATGTGACAAAATAATGTGGTTGAAAAGGTGTTGTAAGGTGTTTGTGAGCCTGTGTAGGGAAGAAAATAAAGCAATTAAGAAATAGGGTGGACTCATGAGGGGTTTTAAAGATTCTACAACAGGGGTGTCCAGTCTTTGGGCTTCCCTGGGCCACACTGGAAGAAGAAGAATTGTCTTGGGTTACACATAAAATGCACTATTACAAATGATAGTTGGTGAACTAAAAATAAAAATTATAAAAACATCTCATTATGTTTTAAGAAAGTTAATGAATTTATGTTGGGCCCCATTCCAAGCCATCCTGGGCTGCATGCGGCCTGTGGGTTGGACAAGATTGCTTTACAACATGGAATGGCATGTATAAAGAAAGTGGTTGCAGGAGGGAGGCAGAAAGGTAATGTGTGGTCAAAGGGCAGGAGAGTAGAATTTCTGATCTCCAAAGTAGGGAGAGTTTTGGTTCCTGAGAAAGTCTAAGAAGAGACATGAAAAAGGGCTAAGGGGGAAGAGTGGAGGGAAGCCCTTTAGAATTGAAGGCATAGCTGTGAAAGGAAGTTGAAGAGTTCTTTCACATGGACATTGAAATTGTTCAGGATAATGATGGGCATTCAGTCAGAAGAAACCTGTAATTTGGGTGGCCTCCATGATGAATATGAGGGGTATAACCTGGAAGCCAGATGGTGATGAACAAGTAAACTGATCTTTGGTGTAGAAGAAGGATATTTTTTGGGGGTGGGGCGGGTTATAGTGTAAGCATAAAAAAACTTGAAATTCCTTGAA